CGCGCCCGATTCTGTTGCTGTGCCAACTTCTTCTTCTTGTTGCAGCCGTTTACGCGGAAACATCAGCAGCTGCAGTTACCATCTCTAGCCGTAACATCTGACATGGCTGAAAACAACGTAAGATCATTTCATTTTTCTTTTCGTTGTTGCTGCAGCTGCACCGTGCTCCAGAGGTTTCTGGGCTCAATTTCGATGCGGCACTGTGCAGAAGATGCTCCAATTCGATGACGGGACATGCCCTTTTTCGTCTAATTTTGTTCAAAAAATTTTTCAGGATTATGCTACCTACACGAGAATATGCTGCTGCTGCTGCTGTGTGTGTGTGTGTGTATGCATGCGTGTGCGTGTGGGCGCATGTTTCCCAGCAAGTCTGGAGTAACATCGCTAGAATTCCTCAGTTACACAGTTCGTTGCAGCGTTTTTAGCAGAGTGCGATGTGATTTGGCGCAGCTACCACGTTAAATTCCGGTATCTTGCGCCTGGAATAATTACCCATTTTGCAGCTTTTGTTAGGCTCCCGTCAGACCTTACTGCCGTAAATTGACGTTTTTTTCTTTCGCACACTCGAAATTTCCGTCAAAACTGGATGGTCCAGGATGGAGTTGTAGCGAATCCTGATCATAAGCCGGATCTACGTCGGAAACATTTTGAGAGCGCTATCACATGTTTTTTTAGCTGCTGTTTTGGGACCTTGTCAGAACCTTACGAAATTCTTGCGGTTGGCTCGTTGCACATTGCACATTTGCTGTTTCCTGCGGAGGATCGACGAGAGAAAATAAGATAATGAGTTCCAGGCGGGAGCACCGTTAGGCCGTGCAATACATAATGGGACATCAACAAAGCCACTAGGTTTGCAGATGCGCCTCGCATCGTTCCGTCTAGCAAAATATCGCGTTCTCGGCGTTCGGGCACTTTTTTGATTATTTACGTGTGCATCAATTGGTCGTTCGAAACGCAGTGTCAAGACGCGGTCACGAATTAAAACGAACAGTGGTTGTGGCTGGGAGAGCGGCGAGTCGCGGAGAGTGTCCCTTCTTCTCGAGCATGTAAGCAACCAGATAACGACAGGATATCGAAGATGCCGGAAAAAGGGGGGGGGG